CAAGGCAGTAACCCATTTTTATAAACAGGTGAAAGAATGAAAAGAAGAAAGAAAGAATTACTTATGGGTGTTTCATTATATATAACTTTTAACTTCTCCATTTGGTCAAACTTGTCCATCCGTGAAAATTGTATTATCTTCATTTAGAAATGGCAGCAGTTCTGAAGAGTTCTTTTGTGAACATGGCAAATACTTGTAAAATAATTTACCGCCAAAGTAATTTTTTCCCCTGTTTGTTGGATGCTTGACAATGAAATATGCATGTGGTTTAGTGAATGATAAAATAATTTTTTCTGTTAGTGTTGTAAAGTGCATGCATATCTTCTTTTTTTTGTCAAAATCTGCTTGTGCCGCTAGGCGTCGCAGTCTATCAGATGATCGGCATGCATATATTGACATGAATATGGCAAGTGCACAGATTTTTGGTTGCACCTAGCAGAGATTTGGCCAGGCTTTCAACTTACAAATTAGATTTCTTTAAAGGAAAGACATAGAAATTAAGGGCACACCAGACGCAGAGCATTGACTATTTTGTCTAGCTCCCTTTTGGATGTGATAGCAGAGTACTGGTGTTATAATCCAACAGCTTCTGCAGAATGGTTTCCTCCAAATATATTGGTTCTATCTTTTCTCTGGGGCAGACAGGGTAGACCTAGGGAGGGATCATGATGCATGGGCAGCACATGGTCTCTACAGTACTGTCCAGCCTTTGTGCTTTTAAGAGGTGGATTATGATTTACATGCCTTCTAAAAGCACAATAAAACACTATCATCTGGAATGACGGTAAAGTGCCAGTCCTTCAGGGAGTGCCAGTACTTCTGGGAGTGCCAGTACTTCTGGGAGTGCCAGTACTTCTGGGAGTTCCAGTATTAAAGATGTATTCATTTATTACCATCAACTTCTTTTGACTTCCCAACACTCCCTAACATGCAAGACAGTTAACGTGTACAGTATTTTCGGAAAGCGATTGGAATTTCTCAGTTATTTTTGTTTGTCATGTACCTTGTCTGTAGTTGTTTCGCCGCCTTCCTGTTCTACGCATTCAGCCGCTGCGGTGCAGGGAGATCACCTACATGAACATAATGAAGAGGATCTCTCGTGCTAGGATAAGAGACTGTGGTATAGTATTGTCATATATTGATTGATGTCCTTTTTTGTTTTGTTTCTTGTTCATTCAAAAATCTTATCATTTTTTTTTTTCAAGTGAAAACTGATAATTTATCTCTAGCTTTTGCCTTTTTGGACTGGTTGTCTTTTTCTTTAAAGGAACATAATTTACAAATGCATAGTCAACGCTGTTGATTTAATTTGGGAATGAGAGCGCTGCAATAAAACATTTTTGGAGTCTTGTGCATTTACAGGAAATTGGTTACAATTACCTGTTATTAATGTCCTTAATCTTTCGTAACGCATATCTGAACTGGTAGCTTTGCCTGTCTCTTGTCTATCCTAGTTATTTCGGAAGCTGCCCATTTTAAAAAGCAATGTCCTACTAGCACAGCAGACTTTTTACATGAATGCTTATCAAAAGAATTACAAACGAAGTAAGAAAGAAAAGACTGCACAGTCAGGTAAGGATAACTTCATTGTGTCCCATGTCCTCATTGTCTTATTTACAACTGTATTAAGAATAAGTAAACAGAACATGACTAGACGGCTTAGTGAAGAACAAGGAAAAGATTGGCACAATTACAGTTGAATGTTTTAACACGTCTTTGTTAATGGACGAGACAACAGACTAATTTGAAACCACAGAAAAGTCAACATAGAATAAGAAAAAAAGAAAGAAAAGAAAATATTACCATGGAGAGGTTCTTATTGATAGTCTTGTTATAAAAAATTATGTTTTTTTGTCAGCTTATAAGGACTCTTCTTTTCTTTGTTTGCCCCTTAAAGGATGTTGACAAGTAATGTTGGGGTTTACAGCTAGGCTGCAATGTCTGCACTTTTTGGCCTGATTTCTGTAAATTCCTAATTAGTCGCTTATGGGCTAGTAGGTGCATACCCCCTCCCCCTCCTCAAAATGGGGCCCTGGAACCCACACAGGGAGAAACTCTAGTCAGAATGTTTAGTTGTGTTTGTGCACCTCTCCTTTCCCTCCGTTGAGCTGTCTAGTCATATTTTGTGTTTAATTATTTCTTGATATCAGCTCAGCCCTAACGACCCTTGTTTACATTTGCATTTGCTGTAGTTGAAGGGGAGCTGGATGTTTCACGGTGTTCCTTTCTCCAGTATCTTCTGGCAGAAATGGGTTTAGCACCAAACATAAGCCTCCTTGTAATATTAGATAGAAAGCTGACATCAAAGACGACACACATTTTGCTTCCACCTCAGTTATTTCACCGAATGCCCAGGCTGCGTCACAATGCTGCATATGTTGAGCAGTACTTTTACACAAATTGCTATCAAAAGAATCATAGAAGAATTTCACGGAACCGAGAAGTAAAAGGTAAGTTCTGTTATAGTACAGCTGTTATTTAGATTGCAGGCCAACTCAGGACTTTTCAGAGTTTGCGTCTTCGAATGATGTGATCCAAGTTAACTAGTGCATTTTTCCCCCTGGAATCTGACATGTTAAAAATTTTTTTTTGATCTTGCTTGTTTTAAGAATAAATTAAAATAATAGCAGTTGCAGCATTTACTGAGGTAATACACAACTAAACATGTCAAGCTGTTAATGATTGTTAGCTGTTGACAGATAAAAGGGACATGTTAAGAGCAGTTAATGACGACTTATTTGTTTTCGCATAAGTTCAGCGACTATAAATCTGACATTGTATTATAATGTAGTGTGAGAAAACGATGATGTATTATGTGGCCGAGGAATGTTTCTCTTGCAGATATTCATTTTGTTTTGAAGCATTGTTTTGATGTGCCAACAGTTTAGCAACTAAACAGACTGCTCGCCATCAACCATCATACTTTTTTCAGTTGTCTTATCATTATACCATATACAAGTCTTCTTAGAGTCTCATTTTTGAGATTTTAACTTTTTGTTTAAAAATAGATCATGTATCTCTTCCAATACATGGTGTTTTGGTAGTTACTTACCGATATTTCTGACATGCTTACCAATTCACCTGTATAATATTTTTGCGGAAGTAAAGTTTTTGTTTTTGTTTTTTATTAAAACCAGGGTAAACAATGTGTTGAAGATATTAAGTAGGCTGTGATCATTTATCATTTAGGAAGTAAAGATAAAATATGTAGCTTAACAATTTTAACTTTATAGAAGAATGGTTTTTAATGAATTTTTCTCTATGACTGGCTTAATTGGTTGAAAATTTATTTAATGAAAAGCCACGAGGACACTGGAATAATTGTTTATGGAAGGGCCCCTTCTCACACCAGTGATGCTTCAGGCATATGATGCTAGACTCTTGTTTCCATAAACCAGTCAGCACTCAGTGGGCTGTGTGGTCAAAATCAGCTGGCCACTCTTACTTCCTAGGAATAATATATAAATAAATGGGCTATTAGAAAATATTTATCTTAAAAAAAAAAAAATAATTCATTTTAGCACGTGTTGCAAATTAATTAAACTAGTTAAATTTTATATAAACCTAATCGATAACAATTGTTACCACTGACCGGCCGCGCCAGCCTTACAAAAACGGGAATTCCCATTTGAGCTGTAAGGCCTTAAATATGGAGCTGGCCATGGTTGAAATGGCAAGCAGTAGATTCAATGTAGTTTACCTTTCAGTACTTAAATCATAAATATGATTGTGACAATAGTTGCAGACTTTTAAGTTTAATACATAAAAGGTCCAGTTTTGTGAAGGTGAAAGCTTCATAGACTGACTGATTGTTTAAACATAGTTATTGACCTTAGTGGTCATCAGACAATAGTATTTTTTTTATAAAAGAAGAAACGAAACCAGATTTTCTTGACAGCATTCAAATATAAGTTGCAGCGAAGACTAAACTGTCTGAATGACCGTGTTTAAGACAAGATAAAGTACATAGTTGAAACCAAATTTTGTTGTTAAAAAAAAGCCTTATTTGTTTTTGCTGTCTGTTATTGCTGATAACATAAGTGTGGATTTTATGTTCCAAAATTTACTTTATTTATCATATTTTAAAGCCAACCCTTATGGTGGATTTATTTTTCTATATATGTATGCGCATGCACTTCCTGATGAAATTATTGTGTGCTGCTCCCACCCCCCCATACACAGAGAGAGAGAGAAAGAGAAACTGAAATTTTTGGCTTATCGTTTTCTTGTCTGCCTGATTCTTCCATCATGCTTCATAGGAGCTGCAGTGTCTAGACATTTGCCTATCAGTCTGAAGTTTGTTTTGTTGGTTTGAATCTGCATTGAGGTAGATTTATTTTAACTGACCCTCTGCCCCAGTTATCTTGGGTTGTAGGAAATGGTCAGGAACTTAAGACAGCTGGCAGGATGTCGGTGGCATCACCCTTTGAATGCCAGTTGGTCTGTACAAAATAATGGTTTAGCATCATATGCCTGTTATGCCATTAGCGCCCCCACCCACAACCGATTTTTTAAAAATTAAAAACCCCACCACCTAAATAAATAATTATTGTCATTAATAAGGTTTTTCCCCCATAAATTTTGACATCCATATAGAGCATTTAGATTGCAGAGTGGTGTTCATTGGGGTATTTCTTGACCCATATAAAGCATTTAGGTTGCAGAGTGGTGTTCATTGACGTATATCTTGTTCTGCAATATATTGCCTGCTTCCACAAACATGATAGTGGTTACCTTTATTCTGCAGTATAGAACGTCTTTCAAAGCTTTCACCTCTGCTGGAATCTATTCCACATGTGCACCAATGATTTGCTGGTTGCAGAGCTCTCTGCTTGCTTCTCATTTATCTGAAAATCAGTGTTCTGGGCACCAAATGATAAAGGGACAACAGTTTGGACAGTTTATAAATGACAGAATTGTTCATTCTGCCTGGTTTACTTGTGTGTTTTGTTGCTGTAAATTGTCAGAGAACTAATATCGTGCATGTTCTGGACTCCCAGCTTCTTGCGAGGATGCCAGTCTTAGCCCATGATTTGATCAGATCCACTGAGATATTCTATAACAACTGTCGGCTAAAGATGCACATGAGAAAATCTAGGTCTCAAATGTCCATGTTTCATATAAGTGAGTTGTTCATTCAAGTTGTCATGAATTACATGAAATATGATTTAATTGTTGTGCCCAAGTAATATAATTATATACAGTCTGTGTAAATGTGCAAAGACTGATTGTGGAGTAGTACCCAGTATCTGGTTTCTCTTTCAAGGGCATTATGAATCAAGATGTATGAGATTGTATTACATTTGAAACAAAGCATATTCGCGGCTGTCACTTACTTTGAGCTGTCACCAATTAAACATGTTTTAAATATTGTACTTGGGGTAAATGATCAAATGCAGCCTGTGTACGTATGTAAAGTCTAAGTTAATGTCAAGAGGAGCAACTCCATTGCACTATTACCTTTTATGTCTCTGCCTCTCTATGCAGAATAGCTAGCCGCCTGCAGAGAGCATCACACAAAGCACATACCCCATAACTCTGGTGATGATCTGCAGAAGAGCAGTGACCCCATGTCTTGCTTTTCTCTGAATCGCAGTCTAAACAGTGTATGAGAATTTCATTACAGTTGAAGCAAAGTAACAGTTGTGCCCCAATAATGTGACAACAGCAATTGTTTTGTTTGTTGGTGAAGTCTGTGGTCCAAATGTTTGGTTATATTTGTGCACATATTTGTCCTGTCTGTTGAACTTTCGAATCATAGTTTGTTTTCTTTATTTTCTTCTTGATATCAACTCCATTGCAGTCTCATTATCACTGTATCTAATCTTCTGTTGCTGTTTAGTACACATCAGTAGAAAATATAACTTAAGTTTAAATAGATTACTGTGTTTGACTTACTAATGTGCGAATTGCTATTCTATTTTATGTATGCAGTCCTTTCTGCCACAGTTTCAGTCTTCACTTTGACACTCTATGTCAGATTCTAGAGTTCTTACCCCACTATTTAAACAATTTTTTTTTCTATTTCGGTGGGAACTGTTTAGAAAAAGTTTTGCGAGAGAAATTCGTTACTTAGGAAGTGTAATTTTACTATTCTGATTTTGTTTCTGCTTGAGTCATTACATTTTTATATTCACATTTTGGGAGAGGAAAAAGGAGTCACATCATTTGATGTGATTTTGGTTCACAGCAAAACGGCACTTTAGCCTTTGTTGCACTGAATCGGCATGTTTGATTTATATTGTGAAATATTCTCGGATTTGGTTCACAGCAAAACGGCACTTTAACCTTTATTGCACTGAATCGGCATGTTTGATTTATATTGTGAAATATTCTCGGATTTGGTTGTCATCTTGGTTTGTTGCAGCTTGTTCATCGAATGCCAGTTATTGCATACGACATGAAACGTGTTTCAGAAGTCCTGTATGCAAATACATTATCTAGACTAATTTATTGGAGGGCAAAGGGGCAGAAAAAGAGTGGTAGGTGTTTTAAATGTTGTTACTTTAGTTTCAGATCAGCCTGGTCCTATCCGTTTTGTGGATTTGTATAATTTTCATTCACAACTGGTGTATTTTTAAAAGATGAAGCTTGCAGAATGTTCATTTGACTACTGTTTTTGCATCTAGTGTTGCCTCTCTTACTTACCCTGTCATTGGAATTGTATGTCTTATGTGGTAGCTATGGTAGTGCAGTAACTAGGTCTTGTTAGAATCTCCATCCCCACCAAGATAGATTTTTAAAAACCTGACCTATGGCCACAGTGTTGACCTAGTCCAGTGGTTCTCAACCTTCCTAATGGGGCGACCCTTTTAATACAGTTCCTCATGTTGTTGCCACCCCCAACCATACAGTTATTTTCTTTGCTACTTCATAATTTCAGTAAATATGTATTCTGATGGTCTTTGGCTACTCTTGTGAAAGGGACATTTGACACACAAAAGGGTCATGACCTATAGATTGAGAGCTGCTGACCTAGTCTAAAGTGGCATCAGGAAATGTTCTAGATGTAAAGATGCTGAGTATGATGTTGTCCACATCACCCAGTGAATGCTGCTGGTTGGTGTATTTACAAAATTCAGGTCAAACACTATGTCCTGTTTGCCAGTAACGAAAAAAGTCTCATTTTACTTTACTTTCTTTACATATCTGTTCCATCATTCCATTTCTGCATCATTGATAATAATTCATTACTGTTTGGAATTATATTTGGGGGGGGGGGGGGGGGGGATTTAGATCTTTTTTCTTCATTATAAAGCTGATGAATGAAATCCTGTTGATCTGCATCTTAGTGAGTGTATTATTCTGTCTGAAGTCTTTTAGATACCAGCCCAGACCTCTGAAACCAGCAGATACATTTTTGTTTGTAGAATTACAGGTTCAAATTTCACCATAGCTTACAGTACGGGTGATATTGTGTTTATTATATCTTCAACTGCAGCTTGTCCGTCGAATGCCGCTTTTATACTTTGATAAAACTAACGTGGCACAGAAATTATATCACAACAATCTGTCTAGGCTTGGCATGAAAAGGCTAAATATGAGACGCAGTAAGTAGCAAAAGCTGAGCCTGTCTTTGACATCTTTTTAAGCTTAAATGCATGATTATTAAATGTCATTCTTGCGGGCAGTCTTATCTTTTGCTGTTGTTCTAGTAATGTCTGCAAAAGAAGTTTAGGTTTTTAGTATATACCACTTGAGGAAGCCACAGTAGTGTAGTGGCTATATGCTTGTCTGCCAGCCTGAAAGTTTTGGGCTTGAATATGCATCGAGACTGTTTTCTTCCAAATTGACCCAGGCTAAAATGGGTACCAGGTAATGTCTTGGAAAGCCAAGATGGCTGACATGAGTTGACCACATCGCCCAGCGAATGTTTATTGGTCTTACTAAAAGGTTGATCTAGCATCATATGCCTGATGAGTCACTGGCGAAAAAAGGGCCCTTTACTGCTGTTTAAAAACACTATTGAAGAGCTGGTTGAGTCTCCTAAATAGCTTTGTGTGAAGTTTATGTAACCCAGAGTTCAGCATGTAGTTGATACAACATCGGACAGTCTTGAAGGAATGGTCTGCTGTCTGATCTGTCAGTCCATTTGTACACATAGGGGATTCAACGGAATTTGTTGAACTATAGCACACAATTCAAGTCAGCAGCCAATAGCACTGTCAGACTGATCGGTTATGGTTAGATAAATCTGGAGTACAGTTTGAGTCAGCTGTCTAGTTGTAGCACAGTCAGATACATTTCTATAACCCGGTTAGATAAGCCTATAATACGCTTATCTGTATGTAGCTGTACAGTTTGAGTCATTTGTCTGTAGCACAGTTAGATTGAATCAGCTATCTAAACACCTATATAATTCTGTAGTGTGGCTTCAGTCAATCATCAGTCTGTATGAGAATTAAATAAATATGTAGCATGTTTTGAATCATCAGTTGTCTGTATGGAAGAGTTGGATAGATCTGTAGTACAATTTAGTTAGTTATATGTCTATAGACAGTGTAAGCTGTATCAAGCAGAGACAGCTTGCCTGGAAGAAAAAAAAAGGTGGGGTGTAAGCAAAGCCCTTGACATTTGCATGTTGAAACTAGGCAATTGAACAGGACATAAGGTTATTGGAAGGCTTGTGATTTTTGCAATGTTTGGGGGAGGGGGGGGGGGGGGGGAGGAGACCATCTTTGTTTCTGGTAAACTGCGTGCCTGCAGTCTGTAGGTCATCCACTGTTCTGCTTTAGTTTGTGGCTTGCTATTAACGGGCTTGTACAGTTTGGCTTAGATTCAAATCTGCATCAGGTTTGAATAACCTTAGCTTCCAGGTCACAAAGCCTAAACTGGCACCAGATGAAGTTAAGGCGGCTGGCATGATGTTGATCACATCACTCATTGATGGCCAATTGGTCTGTAAATAATATGAGTCTAGCAGCAAATGTCCCATGCACACTGGCACAAGAAGATTCCTTTATGTGACTTTTACAGTTTACCAGTAAATGCAGATTTAAGGCTTGAGCAATGCTGAGTATTAAGAAGTTCAAATTTGCCCAAACACCATAAGCATTGATCGTTTGTCCCGTACATATTGCTTCGTACATGGCTCCGTTTTTGTTTCTAAAGTTCGAACCTACTTTAAAAGTATTCAGGGAAAGTTACTCTAACGTTTTTTTTTCTCTCTTTGTATAGTTGACTTTATTCAGCCACATGTAGTTGTAAACTTATCTCATTCCTTTCCAGACCGTGCATTTTGTAGTTATGTGTTTGACGCCTTGGACACCAATGTTACAACCACAAGTACAGGCCGCATTATGTGTCTTTCTGTGGTCGAAGCTCAGAAATTGTTTCAGTCTGATGTTTTTAATTGTGGTAATGATAATGAAAATTTAGATTTTCCCTAACAGTTGTGTTGTTCTGATGGCAAAGTCTCTGTTTCCCGGCTCTGCCACCTACACTTTTATAATCTCTCCTTAGCTCTTCCTCTTTTCCCATCCTAGACAACTCTCATTCAAGGGATGTCAAAGCTCCACCCCTTGGGTACAGTGCATTTACCAAATGCCTGTCAGTCAAGAAGGCTCAAACACTTGTTTTCATTCCCACAGTCCATCTGGCTGGATATAGATTTGCATGGTCACAAATAAAGACACACCTGTCTTTCCCTGGTCAGTCTGCCAAATGTTCTGACACCTGGTCTGAGGTTATCTGCTAAAACCTCATTCTAAAAAGTGTCAACCCTTGCCCTGCCCGCAGTTCAAGAAAGATAATTCCAGTGGGAGATGATTACTTTTATCACAAATTACCTGCCCCTAAGGTTTTGGCCTTGAGGATATTAAATGACACCCAAAGCTAGGTGGTCTATAATATCCACTTCATTGGTGCCACCAAGTCTACATGGTCAGTGTTATCTGGATTATTGACACCTAAACCTTGTGCAAGAATCTGGATGTTTCACTTCAGTTGTAGTCAAAGGGAAATCAAATAGCCTTGACCTAGATTTAGGTTACAGCCCAGGAACATGTAACTTAAAATACATATACAAAGCTAAGTTAGCTGAAAGACACATTCTGAAGTTACTAGTCACATTATCACAAATCCAAATATTAAGAAAACAATATTAAACATGTAGATAAATAATT